TTTCTGTCAGTCGTCTCTCCTAACCTGTCAGCCATGTCTTGTAACTTAAGGAAATCCACATCCTTTAATATTTCAGAAAGGGATTGCCTAAGCCTACTTTTGGTTCTAATTAGTTCGTTTAGTCTGTCAATGCTTTCCTTAAGCCTAGTTTTAACCAAACGATCAAGCTCCCTATTGGCGGACATCAGTAGATTAAATCGTCTACCGAGTAAAAAAAACAGGAACAACAACAGTCAGAGCTTTCTCTTGGGTCATTAAGCTTTGATAATTAGAGCCTTTTGATCATTCTGATTTACCACCAGTATTGTGTATATACGTTAACACACACACGAGCAAAAATAGCAGGACCAGTATGCAAGATAATTAGCTAAACGACTCAATTTAAGTTTTTAATTCTCATCTGCTTACTTGAGTCTATATAAGAGGTTAGATGGATTCGGATAGTCTTATTGCCTTAGTGTTAAAAAGAGACTTACAGGAATGAGACCCAGCTCCGATGATGTCAATCATATGATGGACGAAAGGTCATCCCTTTTACACCCAAAACGAGGGAGGTCTCGTGGATTGCGTCAAACTGAACATAGTATTAAAGTCAAACGACTGCAGTACAACGGGATTCATTCGTTCTCTACGAGCTTCTTCTTTATACACTTTCATACGAAATGAAAGTCACTCCAACACTATTATATCAGGAGATTAATTGACTTGTCACAGCTCTAGTCTCGAGAACCTACTTAAAGCGATATAGTTGGACAGTGTTGGTTTGAACTCGTTTTCGCTACCTTCTCTAAGCAACAGGGATGTCTTGTCGCATGTATCTTGGATTTAATTGTTTCCTACTCGTTTCATGAGCCCATTTCTCCTTGCAACCTTTTATTTAAACTGATGCGCAAAACACAGCTCCCTCGGTAAAATTCAACAATATTCTATCCCGAATATTCTTTACTTTATATTCGATTTTCCTAACGAGAGCAAATTTTGCCAGTTCACACTACATACTGATTTTATCTTTGGGCTATCCAGCTACAGGCTACACAGCCTTATTTTTATTGAGTTCGTGATATTTATTTGAAATAATATAACAATCGGGCTGGATTAATTTCTTAACTACGAACTACATTATATCTAGCTTATTGCCTTTATTTTTTCTTATACATCATACATTTTCCAAATCACGAACAAAATTAACTAGTGTAACATATCTTATACTGCTTTGTTTCACCTTCATTGGAGTGTGCCTTTAATTTCTATCATCGCCTACAACACTTACCTGTCCCATGTTTTGTTTTGCTTTTTTTATTCATGGTTGCCTTCTTCTTAGGACATAGTCGAGCGTCACACTGATCCCGACACTCTTCTATCCTGCTCTCGCGTCTATGAGGCACTTTGTCTTGATGAGTTGAGTATATCAGCCAAATGTCAGACAGTTCGAGCAACTTTACTTGACCGACTCAGTGAGCTGTATCGAGGGTCTTTCCTTAACTACTTCAACGAGGCCGGCGAAGAGCCTGACGTCGATGATGAATTTCATCTGTTCTCGGCTCTGAAGCGCATTTATGCATTCTTCTGGTATGCGTATCATGTTTAAACTACTTTTTTTTATTTCATCACCTGTCTGTTGCTCTTAAACTTTTATTGCTTGATAGCACTACTAGTGGAAGTTACACCAATCCCCTAGTATTAACTATTGATATGGTCTCGATATATTATTCCTCAATCAGCAGCATGTTTAACTCTTGGCTTGTCCATTTTTCACGATAGTAATATTAAGATTTAGTTATTGTTTGGTTTTAAAATATTTTTTTAACGCTTTTTCTCATCTTGGAATAATTTCAACTTATTGAAAGTAGAATACAACGTTATCATCTTAATTTTTATCGCGACTTACTTAAATTTGTGTTATTGACTTGAGGAATAGATGAATTTATTTTCCATATTTCTTGACACTTAAGGACGCGGCCTGAGCATGAAGCCTTTGCGTTACAAAGTTATTTAATTGCAATACACATTAGAATACCATCCTTTTAATTCAGCAGATCATTCAATAGAAGTTGTTTGACCTTGTGTTCGCAACTTGGTCATATTGGTAGGAAGACT